AGCCTTCCCTGGGGGACACAGTGAAGGGAGAAGGGACCCTCTCACACATGTTCCTCTGCTTTCCATTGCTCTTCCCCACCAGACCCCACAGCCTGAGGGCAGAGAGGTCTTAGCTGTCTCTGAGCCACCCAGATCAATGTGCCAGGCGTGCAGTGTACTGGGCAGGCAGCTGTTCAGTGAGTGCTGGTGGAATGGGTGAACGGGGAGGGAGGAGACCAGAAAATAAGGCAGGCAGGTTGACTTGTCTAAATTAATAATAAACTGATCTCTTAGGGGTTACGAAGAAAAATATCTCATTAAAAAAAATGAGCTTATGGGGCTGGGATTGAGGCTCAGCGGTAGAGCGCTTGCCTAGCATGTGCAAGGCCCTAGGTTCGGATCCTCAGCACCACATAAAAATAAAATAAAGATTAAAAAAGAGAGAGAGAGCTTACGATGTTTACACAGTGAGTTATTAACAGGAGAGGCAAACAAGTGGACAATGGCAACTTCGCAGTAAAAAAAAGGGGGAGGGGGAGCAATGTACTCCTGTAATCACAGAAACTCAGGAGGCTGAGGCAAGAGGATTGCAAGTTTGAGGCCAGCCTGGGCAGTTCAGCAAGACCCTGTCTCAAAACTAAAACACAAAAAGGGCAGGGATGTAGCTTGGTGGTAGAGAGCCCCGGGCATCAGCCCATAGTACCAGGGGCAGATAGAGAGAGACAAAAAAGAAATGCAGCACAGGGCACCATCTAGTGGCAGACTCCCCAGAAACACACAAATGTCTTGCACACTTTCTCTCTTGAGTTTCTGGCCAGCCTACCTTATGCATGACAATCTTCCGCTGGCCCGGCTCTGCCACATCAATCATTTTCTGGACCACATAGTTGGCATACTGGTCCTTCATCATGGTATATAAGGCACTGTGGGGACCATCGTTCATGGTGCAGACCTCATCGATGAGCACAGCACGCTCTGTACGTGAGGCGTGGGTGACGCACTTCTCCACAACATTGCTGTAATGAGACGAATCCATTGTCAGCTGTCAGAAGAGGATCCCCTCTTAGGTTGTGCTTCTAGCCTCTCCCCTCCCTCAGGATTAGCAGCAAGAGAGATCTCGCATTCGTGGAGAATTAATGTATCCACTGTCTGGCTCTGTAAGAGTCTATGTCTGCCACCTGATGTGTCCAACAGTGAATCATGTCTGAGACTAGGTCTTTCAGGGATGGGGACCTAAACTTCCATGAGGTGAGGGTAACAAGCCTGGATGAATAAAAAAACAAGTTTATGGGACTGGTTTTGTTAACGTCCCAATTGGCTGATTATTATTTCAACATTTATCAATATCACTTGATGTCTATCATCTGCTATTGGCACAGAGCATGATACTTGGCAGAAACTGTAGTCTTGCTGAAGGAACCCACAAGGCAGGGCCATGGCTCTTTTGGTCAACTACCACATGCTGTCTCTCAAGAGTATAAGAAGACCCAAAGTTTGTCAATACATCTAAACATTTCACAAATATGTCATATTGAGAAAAGAAAGGAGGGGTGCAGTTCCATTAGCAGTATTCCCGTAACCCACAGGGCTACAGATGCTGACTGAATTACATGCTGCCGCACTGATGGCCGTTTACCATCCCACAGTGACTGTGCACTGCGGCTTGGTGCTGTGACGACACCGTGCAGTGTCATGAGCAATGTCCATGCCGTGTGCTTGCACTGCTGGAGTCGAACCCAAAGCCTGGCAGGGAGAATTGGAGGTTTATGTGTGCACATGGTGGTGGGATGCGCTGAAGGCTTCACAAAGTGTTCACAAAGCAGGAAAGAGCTGCTCCAGGTCACAAAACCCTCAAGCAGAAACCAGCATAAAGCTAGTATTCTGTGAGATGGCCACTTCACTGTAGGTTGGAAATTGCCAATGACTCACAGGTGGCTACTTTCTAGGGCAGCCTAACTAACAGGTGAGGTCTCACTGAATCTCCTGCCTTATGTACCAGAGCACACACACGTAGGTGCTGCATTTCTTTTCTCTAGTTTCCACGCTGCAATGTTGTAAGATTTGACAAATTAAAAGGGAACATTAATAAACATCAAGGTTTTTGTATGAGTCCTATTACCTGCCTTGCAATTCACCCTAAAAAAAAGGAAAAGAAAATATTCTAAAAATAGAAAGAACTATGTTATGTGGGAAACAGGAAATACAGAATCAACTCAGAAGACTGACCACAAGGAAGAGCCATCAATTTTTCTCGAATCTCTGCTACTTACAAGTTAACAAAAACACCTTTGCCAACCTGGGAAAAACAATCTCACTGCATTCTTAAGCCCGCACACTTTGAAGCTGGAGAAGAGATTCTGAGAACACTAAGGCCTGCGCAGACATGGCCAACTGCCTCTCTCAGCCAGAAAGAAGCCTGCCTCACGAACATTTCACAATTCCAAAACATTAAGTTACTAAAATGCCCAGTGAAGTAAAGTGTAATACTTTAGAAACACAGTCCCCAGATTTCACTGTGGCTAGTTTCTCAGGGAGTTATATAAGGGACCTCTTATGGTCCATGCTTTGTAGAACTATTTGAGTTTTTAACCTGTATATACAAATAAATAAATAAACAAACAAACAAATAAATAAATAAATATCAAAAAGGAGAGAATGACCACTTATTCTTTATCTTAGCTGAAATACTACTTAACCCTCTCTTCTAGAAAACAAGCTTTATAACTGAAAGCACATACCTTGCAAATTTGTGCTGACTTAACACAAGTACATTGCCTCGAATTTCTGCTACAATTTTGCTTTTATCCTCAGGACGACCATGTTCTAATACATGCTGGATTACATAATTTCCATACTGATCCTATTTGAGAAGCAACAATAGAAAGAAAATTTAAGTTAAAAACCAGTTCTGTGGGTTCCCTAATTTCTTGGGATTGAATAAGGGGTGCTACACCACTGAGCCACATCCCCAGCCGTTTTAAATATTTTATTTAGAGACTTGTTATTGTGAGGCTGGCTTTGAACTCATGATCCTTCTGCCTCAGCCTCTGAGCAGCTGGGATTACAGGCATGAGCCACCACTCCGGGCAGGTTCCCTAAGTCTTTAGCACCTATCTTTCTTGTAGTGCCAGGAAGGCTCTAATGAACATAAGAATTTTTTAAATGGACAGGTAATTTTTCCCTGTCATTACAAAATAGGAACACATTATTAGACAATGGAATATTTCTCTCCACATGTTTATGCCCAGAAGCTCTGGTTAGGTTCTTCATAAATTACTGGATATAGAAAAGTAGGCCTATATCATTTTAGAAGAGGAAGGGAGGGAGTAAAGAGTCATTATTCTTAAACAGAAATGTACAAATTCCTTTACTTTCTAGGCTGGAGGAAAAACTGGAAAGATTCATGTCCAACAAAATAGGCAGGTCTAATTACTTAATAACTGGAAGAAGCAGAAATAGAAAGTAGAAAGCCAAAAAAGAAGAAATCACCTAATCCACTTAGTTCATTGGATAATAATGAGATTGAGACTCTGAGGGATTAAATAGTCTGTCTGAGATAAACAGTCCACCCTAGCTCTCAAAGCTATACCTTCTAGCTATAGGCTTGGCCAGTGCTCATTGCCCAGGTTCAAGACACTAACCACGCTGCTATGAAAACATGCCCAAAAGATTCAAAGAGCATGAATTAAAATACATTAAGCCGGGCACAGTGGCGCACACCCTGAAATCCCAATGGCTATAGAGGCCGAAGGAGAAGGATCACAAGTTCAAAGGCAACCTTAGCAATTTAGCAAGGCCTGACTCAAAATAAAATATAAAGAAAGCTGGGGATGTGACTCAGTGGGTAAGCACCCTGGGTTCAATCACCAGTCCAAAAACAAAAGGACACATCAACCTTTTCTGGAACAGATACTTATGCTAACAACACACACAAGAATGGGGCCTACAGAAGCCCACCAGCGCTTGCTCATTTTATCTACTGGCAACTCCAGTACCTGTACAAGTTGCTCTGTGTGCTGGTGAAGTTCCTCTAGGATAGGGAGGGTCTGGTCAGGGAGACAATGCTCCAGGATTCTCTGAATCACTCGGCAGCCATAAGGGTGCGTGGACAAAGCAAACACCTAGATAAAAAGATACAAAGAAGAAATTCAAAATGGCGCTTGTCACTTTCAATGCTTCAGTAACATTTATATCATTGATATTTAGATTTAACTAAATGGCCTTTAAATTCTCTCTACAAATAACATTAGCAGCATGTGTCTGTTATATGTAAATAAACCCATTTTTTAATTATTTTATGATTTCATATATATGCATATTCAGAGCTGAAAAGAACTTTTCCAAGGAACCTGGAAGGAACACAGAATTAGTCAAGGTCAGGAAAAACAGCTGAGAATCAGGAATGTCAATCAACAACCAATCCAAAAGACAGGATTAAAAACAGAAAAAGGAAGGCTGAGGGCTGCAGCTCAATGAGAGAATAATTGTCTAGTGTGCGCACAGTACTGGGTTCAATTCACAGCATCACCAAAATAATAATAAAATTATTATTATTATTATTATTAAAAGAAAGATGAAGAAAAAGGAAAGGGGGGAACCAACCAACCACCACCACCACCACCCCCCAAAAAAAAAAAAAAAAAAAAAAAAAAAACAGAAAAAGGGCTAGGATCCAGTCCTGAATGCTTTCACATAAACACACCAACTACATACAATCATCTGAGTTTAACTGGTGTGTTTTGCTGGGTTTGAAGAATTAGGAAAGCACAGGTGCTATAGATCCAGAACACCCAATCTTGTTTTGTTTTGTTTTTGGTAGTGCCGTGGATTGAACCCAGGGCCTTGTGCCTGTTAGGCAAGCACTCTACCAACTGAGCTATATCCCCAGGCCTCCTAGAACACCCAATCTTGATTCGGCCCTTCTTAGCTAAATGACATGCAGCCCACATCAGTAATCAGGAAGAATAATGAGAGTAGTAAAAGCAGTAACAACTATCGCTTACTGAATACTTACTTACAAAGAGTCAGTTGCTGCACTAAATACTTTATGTATATTATATATGCAGCTTTATTATGCTAACAACTATTACTTAAACAATATACTGTTTAGTTCTGCTTGACATTCGTTTTTGTTGTTTTGGTTTGGGGTTTTTGGCACTTGAGATTGAATCCAGGGGTATTTTACCACTGAGCTACATTATTTTAAAAAATTATTTTAATTTTGAGAGAAGGTCTTGCTAAGTAGCTGAGGCTGACCTTGAACTTGGCATCCTCAAGCTTCACCCTCCTGAGCTGCTGGGATTAGAGGGGTGTACCACTGTACCTGAATTGAGTTCATCTTTCTAAAATGCCACATACTTATAGTCTGGATCAACATTTCAAAATAATGTTTCCAATATTCATTTCCAAGACTGGATATTTCTGCAGTGTATTTTGTGTAGGTGACTATGAGATTTTAAAGTCAAAATGCCTAGCTTATAGACATCTGCATTGTTTAGCCTTTTCCTACTAGGGGAATACTACTGTTTTAAAAAGGTAGTGGGGGAATACCATGTACAGAGAGGAACCTAGGCCAGGAGTACCAGATTATAAGAAATACAAACGTTAGAATTTGAATACTATATTGTGTCCTAAAATGGTGCAAATATAAATTTTTACCAGAACTATGTTGGACCCCACATTCCTACCAGCACAAAGGAAATGACAGGTGGGAAAAATCATTTAGGTATTTTCCTCATTACTGATGGAATTGACCACTACTTTTCTTTTTCCGTGTTTTGTTTTGTTTGGTACCAAGGATTGAACTCAGGGGCATTCAACCACTGAGCCACTTATGTATACTGGCAATTTGTGTTTCTTATGTGAAATATGTTCAGGGACCAATTTTTCGTTACGTTGTATTATTTTCTAGTTACCAATTCTTTGACAGATTGTTATCCTGAAAACATCCTCTTCCTGAGCTGGGATGCTGCTTAATGGTAGAGTGCTTGCCTGGCATGGGCCAGGCCTTCCCCGAGTTCAAGAAAAGGAAAAGGAGGGAAACAAAAAGGAAAAAGACTCTCACTTGGTAGCTTAATTCCTTTACATTTTATTCTGTAGTTTGATAAATATAATACCTTAATTTTAAAGTTAAAAAAATCTACCCCCCTCTTTTTTCATTAACTTAATAACTCCCAATAACCCCCTGGGTACTGTTTGCAGACTCGCTAACCACCATGGCAGTTCTCGACAGAACTCAACTCATACTTCAATACAGGCTGAACAGTACACCTCATAATCTATACCTAGATTACCACTGGTTATGATAATCAACTTGGTTTTTCCTGTTTTATCCCCTTTCTTAAAGAGACATTTTGAGGGGTGTGTGAAATGTTCTTTTTCTCCCTGTCTCTTTAAGAAAGGGGTAAAACGAGAAAAACCAAGTTGATTATCATAAAATGAGACCTTTTAAATTATCCTTTTCCACCAAATTAGAAAAATGTGAGGAAGTTTTTTGTTTGTTTTGTTGGTAAAAGAAATTAACAATGACAGCCAATTCAGAGAAAAACCAAGAATTTAACATTGCTTACGAGTAATGCCAAGAACAGACTTCTGACATACAGGTAAAAAGGAAAAATTAGAAATTATCTCTGGTTATGTGGCCAGTTCAAACCAATATGAACTGCATTCCATCCCCTCCAAAAAATCTAGGCAAGTAACAGTTATTTTTCAATTAAAGATATGTTCATGGGCTGGGGACATAGCTCAGTTGGTAGAGTACTTGGCTTGTATGCACAAGGCCCTGGGTTTAATTCCCAGCACACACACAAAAAAAGACATTCATATTGGGCCTGCAAGATTACTTCTGCTAATGACCTACATTTTTTAAAACTGATGAATTTGTTTAAATATCAGAATAATACTTAACAATGTGGGGAAATTCTTCAAACATGAGATTTCATCTTAGCTCCTTCAGCAATGTTTCATTCCAAGGTGAGCAGATATCTACATTAATGATGGAGAGATGGCCCATGACAGTTATGGGAAGGGACCTGGTACCTGACCCGCACTGCACAGCACTGCTTTTCCTGCAGGCTAAGACACACATAGCAAGCTGAGAACATGCCTCAAATCATACCTTGTTCTTTGATGACAATGGAGACACCCATTAATTTATTTCCCTTATTTCTTTCCTAAGTCACTTACCTGCCCCTTAAACGCGTCGATAATAAACTGCAAAGACTGGGGCTGCACACATTCAATGCATTTCTGGACCACGTGATTGCCATTCTGGTCTTTTACACATTTCAGGACGTGGCCATCCAGTTCCCGAACCATCTCGTTCTATTGAAGACAATGGAAGAAAGCACCACCAGAATCACAGCAAGCAAAAACCCAGATGTCCACACTCTTCTTACCAACACCCAAGCACTAAACAGACTCTTAAGACAATGAAGGTGGAACAACTCAACTCTGACAATGTGACAATGTGGCAACAAATGAGGACTCAAGTTCTTCCATGTGTTCACATATTTACCATGCAGTAAAATTCACTATAGCAGTAACCAGTACCACAAAAGGACTTTAACTTAGAAAACCCCTCTTGAAGCTTTAAAAAATGTAGATATCTTCAAATAGAAAGGACTCTATATGAAGTACACTGCATTACTGAATTTCAAACATAATTTATCTACCATAAAATAAAATTTGTTATAGCAGTAACCAGTACCTGGAAAGATCTCAAACTCATTTTTTTTTCCTGACAATCCTAAGTGGTATATTAGTAATAATGACGGTCATTAATCTACAGTTGCCCCTTGGTTAGACAGGCATACTTCTAAGTACTTAACATGCTGCACTAAGTCCAAACAACCCAATGCAATGGGCACTGTGATAGATGAGGAAAAGAAACCATAGACAAAAGACTTGAACAAAATGCAGAACTAGATGGCCAAGATTTAAACTTAGCTCCATTGTGTGTTGGCAAACCAACTATCAATGATATATATCCTGCACAGCTCTTCCACCCATCTAAAGCTATAGACAGAGACAGCACGATGGTGCACATCTGTAGCCCCAGCCTCTTGGAGGCTGAGGCAAGAAGACTGCTTGAGCCCAGAGGTTCAAGGCCAGCTGGGCAACACAATGAAACCTTCCAATGAGAAATAAGAATGAAAAAGGGTGCGGGGCGGGGGTGGGAAGGAGGAGATATCCTATAAATAGAAAGCAACAGAATCAGAATTTTAGTCTAGACTGTGACTCCAGCATCCAAGATCTTTCCATCAGGGCACAGTAACTGTGAAGAGAGCAGGAATGGTAAATTAATGAAGAGTACCAGAATTCAGAAAGTATACACAAAAGCCAGACACTGAGGGTGTATTTGTATTTGTGTGGTGTTGGATGAAGGCTGACAAAAGTGCGGGGGTGACTGGATGGGGTGGGTGTGAGATTGATCGAGACTGACTGATTCTGAGCCCTTCCCAGAAACTTACTGCCTCTGGTCTCAGGAATGGAGGTCAGATGTGTGCACACAGCTGTGCCCTGGACCTGCTGCCTCATTTCCTCACTATCTCCAATCTCTGTAACAATTAGCTCTTCGGTGCTGACGCTATTTCTGTTAGAAGACTACAGCCACTTTAAAATAGTGCTGTTTTGCAATGTCTTCAATTCTTGAAATGTGAAGTATGTCAAAGCTACTAAGATATAACCTAATTAAAGACCTTTAAGACTACAATGGTAGAGTACAAAGGAAAGAAAGTTTACCAATCAAATGCCAGAAGGAGAGTAAATTAGCCAAATGCCAGAATGATGATTATTATAGGAATGATAAATAATGCTTATGTAAAGGAAAGTTATAAACAAAAGGAAAGGGAAATGGCTCCCGTCAGTATTTATTTGTTCCAAGAGGTAAAAATTCAGTTGGCAGTTAATTTCACCTAAAATAATCGACTTGCATCCAGAAATCAGTACATTTTCCACAGCACGCATATGTCAGACTCAGGAAAAGGTACCACAAACAAACACAACCAGAAAGAAATATAAGATAAAGACCACTTCCATAATACAACCATCCAATTAAAAAAGAGAAAAAAAGGTAAAATCTGAAAATGTGGAGATAAAAATCAACAATTTGCCACATTCGTGGTAAAACTTAAACAGGATAAATGAATAATAAAGAGTCATGCTTTTGCGTTCTTTCAGCAAGTAAGCACTATGATCAAGAAAGAAGAAACCTCATATTTAAATAAACAGGAAAATTAAAGAGGATCCAACTACCTATGAAAATTCTGGGAAAACTAAAATTGACCTATACATAAGAAAACTAAAAATAGCCTCACATCTGTTTATAATTACTTATCAACAGCACTCTATCAATAATGCATCTCTACTGCTGAGCACTGACTGAATGTGCTCGAATTTTGCTGCACATTTCCAACACTCCTGTGCCTCCACACATCTCTCTGTGAAACTCTCCTGTCTGAAGGACCCTGGACGCCCCCAGACTTCAACTGTCATTGCCAGCACCAGTGCG